GAGAGACGAAACGTTTCTACATTTTTTTGTTGATTTGCTTTGTTTTGTTTTTTTGAATGTCCAGAGGACCAGATTTAACTTTTTTAGATTTCTTCTGAACCTTTTGTTGGTGAAAACAGACGTTCAGTAGATTTTCTCACCCTGGTCTGGATGCCGTGCTGCGTCTCACCACCCGCTGGTTACGGTGACAAACCAGCAGCAGCGTTTTCTAAACCCGATTAATGTTTCAGAGAAAACCAAGTTGGAGAAGATGTTGTGAAAACACGGCAGGAAGAGCACTGCTCTATTTATTTCTGGTAAACAAACATACAAAAAACAAAAGACAAAGCAGACTCACCTCTCCACACAGTCGCTTAACCGAGACGCCAGCGACGAGGCGGGAGCATCGTGACCTCCAATGGCGTATAGGAAGCCGTGCCACGTGGCCACACCCACCCCTCCGCGCCTTTTCGCCATTGGAGCACAACTAGTCCACCTGTAAATGAAGATCATAACCATCAGGAAGAAAAAACTAGATTCATCATAAACCATCAGGCAGTACTTTATAAACAGAGGCTGCCTGACTGAAAGCCAACATCCTGAGGCACCTTCTGATCTGTGGATCAATAACCTGAAAAAAGAGGTGTTTCTCTAGTGGTAACAGAACAGGAAATAAACCAGGAGGAGGCGATTAATACCCCCCCCCCTCCCACACACACACACACACACACAACCGTCTCTGACCTGTTAGTGTGGGGGTCGAAGCACTCCACAGAGCGCAGGCAGGATGAACCGTCACGACCTCCAACGGCGTACAGCCTGAGGAAGACAGAAGACAGAGAGTGGACACATGCACTCATTTCTGTTTTGAACCGTCCAGGCAAGTGATGGTCGCCATCAGACGGAGAGCCCCGGGTATAAACATCACATACGGTACGAGTCACACCGACATGCACGCTCCTCACGGGCGAGGTTGACACAAATCAGTTGTTTTGGTTTTAATGAGCATCTATAAAGCCTGTCACTGTGACATCTCTCTGCGGCACCAAATTACAAAAGAGGTCATCAGGCTCAGAACGTGCCCCGGGTCACTGAAACTCTGACATACTCGAGTGCTAAACAGTGCACGGTTGAGTGTGTTTTATTGCGAACGCTGTTTACCTTTACTCGTGCTGCTGGGTGTGAGCATGTTTAAAAGCAGTGAGTCTGAAATGCAGCTTCTGTCACTTAAATCCTCCAAACAAGCAGAGGGAGTGGGGCTCGGGGCAAACGAGCTTCAAACTGTATGTGGTCGTGTCTTATTGATGGCTTGGCTTTTATGGCTAATGGCTGACTGCTTCCGCAAGATATATAAGACGTGCTGCAGTTTCTCCTCTGAGCTGTAAGCAAAGTAAGTTTGAATATCTTCAGAAATAGATGCAGATGAACTGCTGTGTGTAGATCTTAAAAAGTTACATTTTAACTCCCACTCAGGCTGTTTACACGAGAACAAAATGGAAAACGCCTTTTAAATTTTATTGGGACGAACAAACAAAAGAGCAGGTGCCACATAAATTCTGAACTATAGTACTGCTGCTTTAAAATGATTGTCTTTGGACCCAAACTGTCATCTGTGCTGAGTGAGGGTGTTGTACGATGACATGCGTGCTGCGTTTGGTGAACATGTGCACAGAGAAGGAGGGGGTAAAAAAAAAACACATTTATGTTTATCTGGCAACCTGCTCAGCTGCATGCATCGTACATGCAGCATCAGCATAAGCACTGTTACATCACAACTGGTGAATACAGGAATGTTCCTTTGGACCGAGGATGTTGTTGGTTTGCGCCTACACGCTGAAATGTTTGAGAAGCAAAAAAAAAAAGACTCTGCTCTATGACATTTATTGTAACTGTTAGAGCAGAAAAACTTTGGACTGCCGCAGCCTGTAGTGTGCATGTGCAATTTCACACCTGCGGTGTATTTCTCCCCTCTATGGGGGATTCCCACGAAAACCTCCAGTTTCAGAGAGAACAAACTTGTGAACTCTGTAAAGTGAAATATGTCACGGCAACAAACAAATAAAAACAAAAACAAAAAAACAAGTGACAAAGAAAATAGAAATTCAAAGGAGCAGTTACAGATATTAATACTTGTCAGAAAAGAGGAGATTCAGGTGCAGCTTATGTATTTTTTCCAATATATCTGATTAAGATTATCACAAGTGAAATGGTGAACGTTTGGACAGTTCTATAATGACACGTTCCGTCAGGTACAGCAGAGCAGCGGAGGCCTTTAACTCGTTCAGACCAGTTCCAACAACTTTGACCGCCGTCACAAAAGAACAAATCAGAGCAGGCATGTTCAGTTGTGCTAACATTGAATTTTACACGCCGCCCTCTAAAAACACACGTGAACTCAGACGTCACTTACTTCCCACTGAGAACAGCTACTCCCACCGTACTTCTGGGTGTAGCCATGCTGGCAACAAAGCTCCACTGGCGAGCTTGGGGGTCCCACCTAGAAGACAGAGTGGGGGAAAGTACTCCGGTTGAGTTATGGATTTTAAAATCAAAACATGTTTCAGCCCTCAGATATAAAATAATCAATACTAAAACACCGGTTTTATTAGATGTATCAACACTTGTACAGCCTCAACTTCATGAGTTAGTAGACTTCAGGGGTATCTGAGGCAGGCTTGAAACACAAGAGTCAGG